ATTTTCTAATGGTGGTGTGCCTCGTGATTTTTTTCATGAAAAAAGTGTGCCTTTGCACAAAAAAGGTTGAAAAACACTGTTCTAATCCAACCCCTACTCAAGCAAGAGACCCTATACCAGGGCTGTCAAACTCCTGGCTGTGGGCTGGATGTGTCATGCGTGGCCATGCCACATCCGGCTTAGCGAAGGGGGAAAAAGTCCCGATATGTCACGCGATGCTGCTGTGACAATGTGAATTTGAGGCCCCTATACCATTTCAGATAGGTGGCTGTCCAGTCTTTTCTTAAAAACTCCCAGTGATGAAGCACCTACAACTTCTGAAGACAAGCTGTTTCACTAGTTAATTGTTCTCACCATTAGTAAGTTTCTCCTTAATTCCAGATTGCCTTCTGGAATTTCTTTCTTGTATTGCCTTCTGGTGCTTTGGAAAAGTAGTTAACCCATCTTCTTTGTAGCAGCTCTCCAAATACTGGAATACTGCTGTCATATCACCCCTATTGTTTCTCTAGACTGGCTATACCCAATTCTTGCAACCTTTCCTCTTACGTTTTTTTTTCTCCAGGCCCTTAATAATCTCAATTTCTTTTTACACTTTTTTGTGCACTTTGCACATATCCCCTTGGTACCCTTTATTTCTTTAGAATTAAGAAAATAAAATTAACCCTCTGCCCAATGACGGGAAAAATAATATTCTGTAGGGTAGTGGGAAAATGATCTCTTTATGATTCCTAAATCTGAAATGCGTTTAAGAGCTATGAATTTTTTTAAAAATATACATTTTCTTTCTTTTCTTTCTAAAATTGTGGGGAGATTAACCCTTACGGACTTCTTGAAACTATGTGCAAGTGTTTCCTTTGAAAAAAATAATCAAGGAACATATTTTGCAAATAATTATGATGTCTGTTTATTGATAATTTAGCTAAGAATATTAAGATGTATTGCTCTTCTAAAAAATGTGCCCTTTTGAGCTTTTTACTGGTTGCTAGCTATTAATGTAGAATTCCCCCTACTTTTTTTCCTTCAATGTTTTGAGACTGTAGCATATCTTGCTTTATTTTTGGGTAGGGTGATTGATTGCTCAAATTATTTAATATATTTAATTGGTTTCTTTTAATAATCCCACGCTCGTGCGTTTAAGGCTTATCCACTAATTCAAGTGGATAATTTCCTCAGTTTTTAAACTAGTGTTTGGTTTATTCTGCATAGATAGACTGAATCTCCTTGCTCTGAATGAAACAACTTTTGAAAGTTCCTTTTGAAACCGAAGAGAGGTTATTAGTTCAGGATGCCAGCCATAAATTATTACACTTGAACAGCAATTTAGATTTCATTTGCAAGCCAAGTTGCATATTAACCATTCAGACACAGGACATTCATGTAGCGTTCAAGAAAACACACTTGTTTGTTTCCAGCTGCAGCAGTGCCAGCTGTGAAATGATAGATAGAGCTCCATCTATACATCTGGTATCTATGTAGTTTATGGCTCCGGTAGGCTTATATGATAAAAATTATATGAACATTTCTTACAAGAATCACTCTATTTTGTGGAACCATCCATAATCAACAGCAACTTATGTTTATATCTGCACTGATGTTTTGCCTATTAAAACATGTAGGCAATAAACTTTATAAGAAATGTTTTAGATTTTTCATTTCAAAATTGATTGTGGGTGTGTAGCTACTATATATTTTTATAAAAAGTCAACACCGAGCCTCTAAGAATAAGTCTCCCAAAATCAGATCTCTGAAGCTGGGAATTCCGGTTTTGGTATTTCATCACAGCTCTGTTATTTCTTTATTTAAAACATCTAAATTCTCTCTAAACTCCAACAGAAATTTGAACAACACACAACCAGACTGTTAAAAAAAAAATCACTGTAAAACACAAAAATAGACAATGGCAAATAGCAGCTGCAGCTCCAGCAAAAATAGATTCCCTCTCTAATAAGTGTACTCAAATCTGTGTTTCATGATTTAGAATTCCTTCTTTAAATACATGCGCAAATGGACACATTTGCCACATTTATTTTAGGTGTTATTACATTCACAATTCCCCATTGAGAATGGCACTTGGGTTATTTAGCTGCCTTATGTAGACTCAGTAGATGCCTTCTGAATAAAAGCATGAGAAGCATCAGTGAAGTTGCTTCTTTATAATAAGTTCTGTTCCTCTTCATGCTTTATATTTGGTTGGCCATTAGTGAGATCCTTTAATGCAGGGGGGGCACGACCCCTGGGATGTAGCCTAGTACTGGGCTGTGGACTATTGGGAACTGGACTGCACAAGCTGTGTGCAAGTGTGAGAGACTCCATTTGTATTTGTATTTGTATATTTGTATTTGTATTTTATTATTTGTATGCCACCCTTCTCCGGGAGGACTCAGGGCGGCGAACAATTCAAAGGGGATAAGGGGGAACATAAAAGACAAAATACAAATAATAAAAGTCGACAACAATCGCACAACCATACATGTCGAGAGGGGAGGGAACTCATCACCCCCAGGCCTGCCGGCAAAGCCAGGTTTTGATGGCTTTTCGGAAGGCCTGGAGAGAGGTGAGGGTCTGAATCCCTATGGGGAGTTCATTCCAGAGGGCCGGAGCTGCCACAGAGAAGGCCCTCCCCCTGGTAATAGCCAGGTGGCATTGGCTTGTAGATGGCACCCGGAGGAGGCCAACCCTGTGAGATCTAATGGGTCTGTGGGAGGTAATTGGCAGCAGGCGGTCTCTCAAGTACATACATAGATATTTTGTGTAAATGGGTGTACATACCTGCTGCTTGCACAGATGGAGCGTCACACACGCGTCTGCCACATGCACAGAACCATCCTCTCTGCCCCACGGCTGCCGGTCCACAGATCTGGAAAGGCTGGGGATCTCTGCTTTAAACTGCAAAACTATCTATCTTTAACTAAAACACTTATCAGCAGAGAGACATTTTTTTCCCATTAGGAAGAGATATCATTCTAAGTTGAAGCTGATCACAATGTGTATTAAACCTTAATGGATTTAGTAATTATGTATATGTATGTATTTATGTATGTGTATACTATATATAAATATGATGGGAGTAGTGTAGTAGCCTAGAGGTGGAGCTCTTGCCTTTGATCCTAGGTAGAGGCAGATATTTCTTTCTCTGGCCACAATGAGAATTTATCTGCTGAACAAGACTCCGCATTGGTGACAGGAAGGCATCTGGCCATTAAACACTCTGCTAGCTTCCATTCAGTTGCCCAGATTCTACCCCACAAGGGATTATGCGGTCGTTAAAAGAAGATGATGATGATTCTGTACATATGACTATTTCAATTTATTTAAAGTATACTAGGGGGACGTGATTGAATTTTTTTATAACTCTAGTGACAATGCTTGGATATTTATTCTGTAATTTATCTGCATGATTCTAAGACATCTTCATTAGCATAGAATAAATATTTCATACAGCACAATGATGATGATGACGACACCTTTTGGAAGTCTGCAAAATGAAACGAATAAAAGGAACTGCAATGTATTTGTTTGTTGAGCAATCCCTTTGTGGGGGTTGTAGCTACAATACTAAAAAGAATGAGGACAGCATGGATTTTTTTCACTTCCAAGCCAGTTGGGATATCACAGAACAGCTGCATTTAAAAACCAGTTCCAGGAGAATTATACTGTGGCAAAATAGGATTCTGTAGATATCCCTGCTTCAAGACTGTCCCGTGTGACTCTGAGCTTTATTATAACTTTTGTATTTCGATGATGGTTATTTATTTCTGTAATTCTAACCATTACTAGCAGTCAGTTGGGATGTTTAATAAGCTCTCTTTTTAAAGACTGTGCGAGACCATTAGGTAGCATAGAGTGCCAGGAAATAGCAACTGATCTCACCCACGTAGGACCTATAAGCCCCAGTTCAGCAACCTGGAATGATAATGGCAGGGTTTTGAAGATATATTTACCTGGTGGGTGTTTAGTCATTCATTCTCCAGAGAGTGGTAGGATACAATGTCATTTTTGGAATTGAATGCAGCCGTAATCCAGAGAGGTGTTGTACAGCTCTCAGTCTATTGCCTTTACATCTGAACGTGCCGATTGTGACAAAATCTGCCAGTAAACCCAGGCAGGCATTTTTGTTTTCGATGTGGACACATTGACATCACAAACGAGAAAGAAAAATGTTAGTTCCAAACAGAATTATATTGATAACAACTAAAGGGGGATTATTTTTTGATCCTTAAAACTATTACATCAGAACAGTGTCAATCACAGTAAGTCAAGACTTTTTGTCAAAATGATGGAAACATGCTCTGCCCCTTGTGCAATTGCATACAACATTAAGAAGTGAATGCAAAAGAGATAGACTTTGTGTTGGGCCTTGAAACTAATCAAGGAGAGAAGCAACTTAGAACTGAGGAGAAATTTCCTGACAGTTAGAACAATTAATCAGTGAAACAACTTGTCTCCAGAAGTTGTGAATGCTCCAACATTGGAAGTTTTTAAGATGTTGGATAACCGTTTGTATGAAGTGGTGTAGGGTTTCCTTCCTAAAGCAGGGGGTTGGACTAGAAGATCTCCAAGGTACCTTCCAACTCTGTTATTCTACTCTATTCTATTTAATTGGGAGATGCTTGTGTTTTGATCCTAATAGTTCTACCCTGGACAGTAAAAAACTATCTTCAGAAAAGTACTCTGTTTTAGGATGCTTTGATATATTTTTAAAAAGGAAAGAAAAGCAAAATAATGATGTTGCATTTCTATTACGCTATGACTCTTTTCCTTAGTAAATCCTTTTTTCCCCTTGCAGTGGCCCAGTTGGATAATATGGGTTTCAGCATCGTCAAGAAATGTATCCATGCCGTTGAATCTAGAGGTGATATTTCCAGATAACAGAACTATATTCTATCTATGTAGCAGATGCAAACTTCCACAGCATTCTTTGTTCCCTCAATTGCCATAGATACAATCTTGGGTTTTCATGACCTGGTTTTAAATCAGCATATGTTGCTGATGGGAGCTCATCTTTAAAATATCGAATGAAAGAACTTTTGAGAATTATATTTTCCAAATGTATTGCTTCTTTTTAAGACTCCAAGTAAAAGCTCTGTTAGTTTGTTTTCTAATTATCTTTTTCTGATTGTAGTTATTTTAGATCTTTATGAACACAAACCCTGGTTAATAAAAAGAGTTGTTGAGCTTTAGCTTTTATACCTGACAACTACAAATGTGTATGTGATTCGATGTTAAATAAAAAAACCACACCCTTAAGAATATTGGGGTCCATTAAAATGATAGGTTAAATATTATTATTCAACTGTATAACCAAACTGGTGATCGTTTTTTTTTTAAACTAAGCTTTTCAAATAATTGAAGCTAAGGTCATTTAACCTCCATGTCTAATTCTTAGAGGCATTTGGCACTGCTGTTTGTGTATATGACCTCTTAGTCCCAACCCCACACCTAAGAACAGATTTTTTACATTCCCTCATTTTTTAAATTATCTCATTATAGTGGGGAGAGTAACTTTTATTAGAAATCACATCTGGGTCTTTAATCTGAAACACAAAAAGAAACGCTATCCGCTTTAATAAGAAACTTGAAAAGTGTGTAGAATGCTGTGAGAGACTTTTAATTAGTGCAGCTCTGTGAGAAACTGCCTTTTTTGTTAAAAAAAGAAGAAGCATTAAATTACTTTTCAACCATTTATCTAAATTAAATAATTTCACTCCATAGGGATCAACGAACAAGGACTCTACAGAATAGTTGGGGTCAACTCCAGAGTTCAAAAACTATTGAGTATCTTAATGGGTAAGTACAGCTAAAAAAAACCCCAAACATGCTGGTTTTCCCCCCCTGTGCAAATGGTGATGTGAATGTAACCCGAAGAAAAGAGACTTACCACTGTGAATTTAATTATTTTTTTAAAAAAAATCAGCTTGTAATGGAAGATTATCATACAAGATCTTCATTGCACTACACTGAAATACCTAGTGAAGGGAATACCTACCACAATTTTGTATTCTTTCTATTTTACAAATTTACCTGTTGTTGTTTTTTTAAGGAAAAATCACTGTTTTGTATTAATATTTATATTCAGGTGGCTAATAATTAAAGTGACATCTGCAGGGGGAAAAACCATTTTTCCCATACAACAAACTAAATACTATTTCAAAATTATAGATGAAAGAGAAGTAAGTACGAAAACACACATCGTAAAGTTGAAATCTGAAATCACTAGGTAGTTCCTGCATTTGATTGAATAGCTCCCCACCACCACCAAAAGCCCCACCAGGGGAAGACTGGGTCTACATAGGTAGGAATTTTGCCGCATCAGAATAGAAATTGAAAGTGCCCATTTCTGAGATCACATCAGGTTGCATCTTTGTAGCAATGGGATCTGGAGGGGACCAACTCTGCTCAACCTGATATAATAGAAGAAAGCATTCTGGTGCTATGTAGGTCAGGGAAGGTGACAGCATCAAGAATTGGAGGTAAACTGCTTAAACTGCAAAGCTATTTAGGTGTCTTCGTACATTAGGATTTCACATCACTGGCCAGGCTGCCAGAGTTTGTACCAGTTTTCCAACTGCTCTTCAAGAACAGTGCCATGTAATATGTGTACAAAGTCTCTTGATGCACAGATGATCGTAACTGATGTGTAAGATGTAGCTGTGCCAAAGTCATGATTTTTTCCTTCACTTTCCTATCCCAAATTCCTGCTTAACTGTGGTTTCTGTATTTGTGCATTAAATTTCTCCTACTCTCTTTTAATACTTGCCACAATGTGCAAAGGGCGTTTTTATTGTTTGTTTTTAATTACTCTACTGAGAACTTTTTCTTAGCTTCTCAAGAGCAGATTTTTTTAAGATTGACAGATGGGAATTTCCAGTGCCTTTTAGCTTTGAACCTATGCTACTTTCAAAGTCACTATTCTGACTAAGTGCAAGTTTAAGTGCAAATAATAGGTTCCTATAAGTTTTTCCTAGATAATTAGACCCTAGGTACATTGCAGATATTTATTAATATATTGTAATAATTTATAGCTACCTTTCGGAGGATACAGTTTTTCTAAAGTGCTTTACAATCAAAATACATATTTGTAATTAAAAATACCATGCATATGAAAAAAAACAAAGAAAGGTTCCTTATCATAAGACAAGTGAAAGAAGAGACCTGCTGAGCGTCAGTGAGTCCTTCCTTCCCTCTCCTTCCTTCTATATGAAATAAAAGTAGCAAATATTTAACAGGTATATGTTATTTTACAGCAGCGGTACAATCTATATAAAATAAGTAAAAAAAGAATTTTGCAACAAATTATCAGTGCTGGTAAATTTTTGGCTCTCTTCAATTGTCATTTAATACAGGCATTCCATCAAGTTATTTAAACTGCTATTTATTTAAACTATTCTTCTCACAGTTGGTCATGTTAAGAAATGTGACTTTAAGAACTCCACCCTCCCTTCCTCTTTTCTTTTCAATTGAAAATTGTAGGGCAGAAACTAGTGTCGGCTGGCGGCTCCCTGGAGGAGGGCCTTCTCTGTGGTTGCTCCGACCCTTTGGAATGAGCTACCCCCAGAGATCCGGACCTTGCCCACTCTCATGGCCTTCCAAAAAGCTGTTAAAACCTGGCTGTTCCGGCAGGCCTGGGGCTGCTGACCTCATTGCTGGGGTCTAGCCCCAATCAGATTGGGTGCATGTGTGATGTTTTTAAATTGTTTTCCTTTATTTTTTATTAATTTCTTTTCTTTTCGCTTTGTAAGCCGCCCGGAGTCCTTCGGGATTGGGCGGCCTATAAATTTACTAAATAAATAAATAAATAGTGGTACTCTTGCACTGAAGAATAAAACTGAAGAGTAGAAGATTGGAGTTGATGGACAAAATATCAATATATAGTGTTGTTATTTATGGAGAGAAAAGATAGAAATTTAGTTGAAGCATTAAGACTATTTTAAAGAATAAAAAATAAGGCTTGAGAAAATATTTGCAGTTGTTTGGCCATGTTTTGAGGGTAGAGCAGGGGTCTCAGGTGTATCACACACTGGCCACGCCCACCCTGTTTTAGTGAAGGGGGGGAGTTGCAATACGTCATGACAACATGTCCTCGCGAGTTTGATACCCCTGGGGTAGAGGCAAAGATTGTGATCTGTCAGTACAAAGAAAATGAAGAGACACCGATTATATTGAAGAGAAGGGAGTTGCAGTAATAAATCTCCATGGACATAAAGGTTCTTCTGGTCTTGGGGATGGAAAGGACCCTAAGAATCCCGGTGACTAAGAATGAATAATGAACTGACTAGATGGGGGGGAAAAACATCTTTCTCTAAGACAGTTCTAAGTGCAGCCACCTGTGTTATAATTATTAACTAGTCTGAAAACTGACTACTTGCTTTTCTGTTTACTCCCTAATGATTAAACAAAGCTTGCATAGGACAACCAAGGAATTTATTTGCATAAAACATCAGACAGGAAACCTTTTACTTCCTGACTTTTTCTTAGAATGTTCCCCTTTTCAAATGTTCATTTTCATTCTGATATGATCACTATAATGGGCTACCCCCTTGCATTTTCCCATCTATAGATAGGAACAAGTGTGGTTGGTATTACTGGTTAACATTTGGTTTAAATGGTAACAGGATCAGGTTTCAGGGAAATATTACTGCTTCGTAAAGTGACAAGGGAATGTGGGTACACTTTTATACTTAATTGGAAACACCAGATGCTTGATGTGGCTTGGGCTTGGAGCCTCTGGTAAACCAATTGTTAGATGTGCAACAGCTGCCGGAAAGCCAGATGCAGAAGTCCTGTTTGATTCAATGAGGTTGAGTTTGATGTTCCTGATATCTCCCACTGAAAAAGGCACAATAATTACCAGTTGAATTGTTTGACGGTATATTTTTCTCTCCCACCTCTGAGTGATAAATAGTAGTATGGCTTATTAACAAGTATCTTCTTGACTTAAACAGACTATTTTCAGAATAAGGGAAGGGGATTTATAGAACTAAAAGTCTTCTCCAAAATTAGTTTGGGGTTATTCAGAAGCAGCAAAAATTACAAAATCTGCCACTGAGAACTAACATTTACAGGATAATTAAAGATATAATAACAGAGCAGTTGTGAATGGCCAAGTGCCATATTTAGCAACCAGACTTTCTTTCAGCAATGTGATCATATACCAACTTTCTACAGCTTTTAAACAAATCAAAGAAAAGCAACTGAGAAGTTTTAAAACTGAAGAATAGAAGATTGGAATAGAGCAGGGCTGTCAAACTCGCAGCCCTTGGGCTGGAGGCGTCATGCACTGCCCACGCCTGGTTTAGCACAGGGGGAAAAAGTTGTGATACATCACATGATGATGCAGTGATGATGAAAGTTTGACACCCCTGGAATAGAGGGACAGCCAGAGAGGGACATAGGGAAAATTACAATAATAAAAACCTGAGGCACCCAGTGCATGAATAGTAATAGCTAGGCTGTTTCTTTCAAGGAAAGGGTATTAATGTTATATTTATTACTATTATATGTTCCAGAGAAGGCAGTCCTGGCCATAGAGATCAAAGGCCTCCAACAATACTGATGACTCTATGAACATCCTAAGTTATGTAGTTGTTCTTTCTGAGGAAGTGCAATCCTATTGCTACAGAGCCGAGGTGGCGCAGTGGTTAAATGCAGCACTGCAGGCTACTTCAGCTGACTGCAGTTCTGCAGTTCAGCTGTTCAAATCTCACTGGCTCAGGGTTGACTCAGCCTTCCATCCTTCCGAGGTGGGTAAAATGAGAACCCGGATTGTTGTTGGGGGCGATATGCTGACTCTGTAAACCGCTTAGAGAGGGCTGAAAGCCCTATGAAGCGGTATATAAGTCTAACTATTGCTATTGCTATTGCATAGATCAGGGGTAGTCAACCTTTTTATACCTACCGCCCACTTTTATATCTCTGTTAGTAGTAAAATTTTCTAACCGCCCACCGGTTCCACAGTAATGGTGATTTATAAAGTAGGGAAGTAACTTTACTTTATAAAATTTATAAAGCAGAGTTACCACAAACCCCTACCGCCCACCATGAAAGCTGGAACGCCTGCTAGTGGGCGGTAGGGACCAGGTTGACTACCACTGGCATAGATGGATAGATGATGGATGGATGGATGGATGGATGGATGGATGGATGGATAGATAGATAATATACATTCATTCATTTAGATATATGAAAATTGCAAGGTTCTTGTATCACTTGATAAGAATGCTTCTGGGCACTACATAATTCCCATAATCTTTTTTAGAAAATAAAAATAAAAAAATTATTAGGCAATTCTTTCTTTAGAAATGTACCACCAATACACAGAAAATTGCAGGGAGGGCTGGAGGGGAGGGTAAAGAGTATACCTTTTGCTGAATGGATAACAGATGGAAAGTGTATACAACACCTAGATAGACATGTTGTTCTATATGTTATCAAGTGAAAGTATGCCAGGTGTGTCCACTGATCCACAAAGTTGCCCAGGACATTGGACACTGCATTTATACCTGATTGGATCTGGTAGCAGCAAAACAGATTTTCAAACATGAGTTTTTGTGATGAAATGGATATTTCTTGTGCCAACCATATTATTATTAGAAACAAGTAAATAAAGGAAACCAACCTGATTATTTAGTTGGTTTATTTATTAGGTTTTGTGAGAATGATTATGACATATGCATTATGTTTTCTTGAGCAAAGTCAGTTCACATGGGTTTGGTATATGCAGAACTGCCTAAAGATACGTTTAGTGAAATAAAAAGGACATTAGTCAAATGATGGAAATAGGCTGCCAA